CTCAGTTAGCTTTGTGTTTTAAAATGTTGGGGTTTTTTGTTTGTTTTTTTCTGAATGACCAGATGTAGTGGGCTTGGCCAGTTTAATTTAATGGATAATAAATATTAATCTCATGTTTTTACCTAAATGTTTGTCAGCTAATGAAAATGTTATGAAAAATGCATGCTGCTTTCATTTTTATAAACTTTTCATTTTTTAACTATAGCTTTATTAGCAATTCCAAAATGCTGCCATTTAGCTGATTTCTTCGCTCAGACAGCTGGCTTTGTGGGTGGCTTTTTCATACTACTGTTAACTTTTTTAAAAGAAGCAATGTAAAGATAGTAACAATTTAATGCACTAAACTGTTCTTTCTTTTACACATTGAAGAACTTCTTAAAGCTCTCTGTATTATAATAATTAAACTGCTCCTTTTTTTAAACCTTGCTAATGTGGTCTGAGTTTTGCTTGGTAATAATTTTCATGTTTTCAAAATTTGAAATACCAAGTATTAAACAAGTATAAAGCCATTGAATATACTTATATTTCCCTTACAGTATGTTACTTTGTATAGCTGTTAAAACTATTGAAATGTTCCTTAATTAAATGGCCCTCAATTCTGCTCTGATGTTTGCTAGATTTTAAATTTATTTATTTGACAGAGCAAAAGGGTTGTTTCCAAAATAAATGCTAGCTGTGATTAGTAGTTTTCAGTGATTTCCCCCTCCCATTTTATTAACTTTATTTTTAATCTGGTAAAATACACATAACAAAATTTACCATTATATCTGTTTTTAAGCATAAAATTCAACTGCATTAATTATATTCATAATGTTGGGCAATCATCACCACTATTTCCAAAACTTATTCATCATTCCAAACAGAAACTCTGTAACAATTAAGCAATAACTCTCGATTCCCCTCCCCCCAGCCCCTGATAACTTTTACTCTACTTTCTGTTTCTATGAATTTGCCTGTTCTTGATATTTCAAATAAGTGGAATCATAACAAAACTTCTCCTTTTGTGTTTGGCTTATTTCATTTAGCATAATGATTTTAAGATTCATTCGTGTAGCATATATCAGAATCTCATTCCTTTTTATGGCTGAATAAATAATCCTGTGTGTGTACCACACTTTATTTATTCATCTGTGATGGATGGACCTTGGGTTATTTCTACATTTTGGCTAGAAAAATGCTGTGTTGAACATTTTTACAGACATATAAAATTATCTGATTGAGTCACTATTTTCAGTTATTTTGTTTATATACTTAAAGTGGAATCTCCACCTTTAGTGTGTATATATATATATATATATATATATATATATATATATTACAGAGTAGTTTCACTGCCTGAAAAACCCTGTGCTTCTCCTATTCATCTTTCTCTTCCCCAAATCCCTAGTAACCACTAATCTTTTACTATCTTCATAGTTTCACATTTTCTAGAATGTCATATATAGTTGGAAGCATATAGAGTGTAGCCTTTTTATTATTTATTTAAATATATTTTATTTATTTTTTTTACAGAGAGGGATAGAGAGTTTTTAAAATCTTTTTTTAAGCTATCAACTGGTCACTTAATATGTGCCAAGCACTAGGTTGAGAGAATTACTTGATTAATCTCAGTCCCAATGGACAGTCCATGAGGTAGATGCTATTATTATCCCCATTGTATTGTTGGTGAAACTGAGGGTCACAAAGGATCCGATTCACACACAGAGTGTCAAACCTGAACCGTCTCTAGAGCTCTCGCCCTTAACCATTGCCTAGCCAGTGTCTTCACAATATTGTTACTCAATAAATGTTCATCAAACTGAACTAGAGATTGTGAGTTTGGGAGTCCGGAGAGAAGAAAAGCAATGCCAGACTGGCTGTGCACATATCTGGTGCTGGCAGACAGTGTTTGTCTTTGGACAACAGCCTGTGATATTGAATGAAAGGAACTAAGCTACCCCCTGAGAAAATTTTGTTTAGCGCAAGACTTGCCAGCCTGAATAAAAGGTCATTAAATTGAGATTTGGAGTGGGAGTGGGATGGGGGAGACACAGAGGCTAAAACTCAGCTACATACTTCATATGACAGCCAAGGGAGTAACAGGGAAATAACCTGCCACCATGGGCACCATGCACAGTCAGTGCAAGAAAGTACAGCCCAGATGTAGTAAGATACACATGGAGTTCTGTATCATTAGATTACTCATTCATTCAATAAATGTGTACTGAGCACACAATAGACTGTCTCGCTCTCCTGTCTCAGGCCATGCAGCTGGCTCTCCTTTTTGCTTGCTCAGCCTCAGCACCACAGCTTGCTTTCTGCTGCTCGTTCTTGCAGCTTTTCAGAAGTTCTTGCTTCCACCTGCAAGGCTGGCTACCTCCAGATGTCCTCTTGGCCAGCTCCTCTTCACTCCAGGCTCAGCCCAAAGACCACCTCTTCACAGGTGCCTTCTCCAGCCACCCTCCCTGAAGCAGGCTCTTTCTCACCTCACTCTTCCACTTCCATGTACAGCACTTACCATAGTCTCAAACTACTTTGTTCATTTATTTCCTTGTTATTTGCCCACTAGAACTTGAGTTCCATGGAGCAAGGATCTTGCCTGTCTTATTTATCACTATCCTCCACTCTAAGGATACAGTCCTTGGCTTAGAGCAAGTCTCAAGAAATTTTAATTGAATCAATGAATGTACCTATTATAAAAATGTACCGACTATGGGAAATAAATGAGAGAGCTCAGTATGCTAAGATCTATATATATATAAAAGCCTAAGTGACTGAACAACCAAATGACCAAACAACTGGTCACTATGATGTGCACTGACCACCAGGGAGCAGACACTCAACACAGGAGCTGTCCCCTGATGGTCAGTGCACTCCCACAGGCGGGCTCATGGCTGGCAAGCACAGCTCCGGCGGCGCCAGCCTCTCTGCCTCCGCTACAGCGCTATGGAGTGGCTGGAGGCAGCAGCAGGTGCAGCGGAGCTGGGATGAGCGGGAATGGCACCCGACCTGGGCTCTGGCTTCTCCCTGGCCGCCTGCTGCTTTGTGCACTACTACATCCCTTGGGGGATGTCAGACTGCCAGTTTCAGCCTTATCCCCGCAGGCTGTGGGGATTGGGCTGAAACTGGCAGTCTGACATCCCCTGAGAGGTCCTGGATTACAAGAGGGTGCAGGCCAGGCTGAGGGACCCCATCAGTGCACAAATCCATGCTCCAGGCCTCTAGTAAGTTAATAAACACCCAGGAGAATTAGTGGATGATACATACCAATAATGGAAGGGTATGTTTTGCTAAAACAAAACAAAAACAGAAAAAGGTGGAAAAGGAGAAAATATTTACAAATATCCGAGCAAGCAGAGAAAGGGGGCTCAGAGGAAAACAGCCTGGGTAAGAAAAGGAGGGGGAGAGATGTGATTTCATTCCCGAAGGTGTTCTGCCGGTTGCCAATCCCCATTATTCTCTATCCCACCACTTTGCCACAATCTGTAATTAAGTAATTTGCTTGCTCACATGTGTATCATATCTTCTCCACCTTAATTTAGGCTCCTTGAGAGCAAGGACCATGAGTGATCGGTATATCCTCATCACTTGGCACAGAGCAGGCCCTCAAGAACACACTGGGTTATGCACAGAATGCTTAATGAATACTGTGTGCCAAGTGCTGCCCTGGAGGAGCATAGGGTGTAGAGGGAGAGAGGATTCCCATGCAAACAGTGTAACAACCCATTCAACAAGGAGTGAAGGCCTACTGGGTGCCAGACACTATGCTTGGTGCTAGACAGAGAGATGTCCCTGCCTAGAATGAGGTCGTGGTATGCTGGGAGGGAGGGACAAGAACCTATGGACAGGAGCTGTATGAGATGAGAAATGCCCTGTCTGAGAGAACCACCTGGTGTTATGTGAACCCAGACAAGGAACATGTAACCAGACTTGGGAATCAGGAAAGGTTAATGGGAGGCAGCAAGATGGAGCACACTGGGAGGGTCCTCTTGACAAAAGAGATGGTGAGGTGGCACCTGTAAGGGCAGGGAAGGTTGCAGGATGAGGGGAAAACAGGGAGGTCGATTCCAGGGAGGACCGGCGTGGCTGGAGAGCAATCATTCAGTTAGGGGGTGGGGAGTGGATTAGGTTCCCCTAGGGTGAGCGTGTGGAATAGAAAACTGTCGAAGAAAGAACCCTGCAAGACAAATGGTGGAAGAGGAACTCGTGAGATGAGGACCAATAGGAGGAAAACTAGAGAAAAGCTCCATGCCCGTTACGTGCTGTGTAATACGGCACAGTAATACTGTGCTGTGCAACATCGGTGGCACTTTGTCAACACTCCCTGCTTCCTAGTCTCAAGAACACCTTGAAAGTATAAAAATGCTAGTAGATATTAGTCTTAGAATTCTGGGATTTAGTGTTTTCTCCAGGCAGAATGAGTGCTCTCGAGTGGAGGCCTGGAGTAAATATATCCTCTGGTTTTTATTCTGGTCTTTGTTATTGGCGGTGGCTCTTCTATGGAGACTTGGGGAACACTGACTCATTTACTTCCCAGCTCTTAGCCACTTGATAATTGGTCCTGAGCAAGTTACGTACCCTCTATAAGCCCAATATCTTCATTTGCAAAACAGGAATCACTGTGTCTTTCATAAGGAAAGGATATAAAGTGCAAAAAAAAAAAAAAAAAGTGCTTAATACAGTGTCAAAGAATATCGTCAGTGGTGAAAAAAACATGGTACCTACCGATTTTACACAGCTACCCTGGGGCTGGTGCTTTTTGATGCGAACACATAAGGAACGCTCTGCCCAACTCCTGAAACGGAGAAGTCAAACTCTGTCCCCAAGTCCGGTCAGTGTGTGAGTCAGATTAAAAAAAATCTCAGCTCGACAAGGACTCCCAACCTGCAGTGGGCTCCCAGAGACTACAAATCCCAGCATGCAGCGCTCCGGGCCGTGGCGGCCCCGCCCCTTCGCGTTGGTCCGCACGTGGGCGCCGCTCTAGGCACCACCTCCTCTCGGTGCCCCCGCCGCGGGCGGCCATGGAGACCGGGTGCTGGTTGCTGGGCGGCGAGTTCGAGGACTCGGTGTTCGAAGAGAGGCGGGAGCGGCGCCCGGGGCCGCCCGCGTCCTACCGCGCCAAGCTGTGCGAGCCGCGGGTGAGAGGGCGGGGCCTCTTCGCCACCTCCCGGCCCCCCGGCTTCGCCCGGGCCCCCGGGCCTGGCTTCCGCGGGTCCCGGCCCGGGGCCCACCTGGCCCCCCGTTATCTCTAACCCCCGCGGGCATCGGGGGCGCTAGGAACCCCCGCGCCGTCGCCATGAACTGGCCGCGGGCGCCCGGCGGGTCTGGCGGGGACGCCCTGGTCTCCCCACCCGGCTGTCAGCTCTGCGGCCCCGCGGGCCAGGCCTCAGCGCCCCACAAACCAGCCGCCGCCCCCTTCCCGGCCGTAGTGTCCGCCCCAGCGGCGACGCCCCTCACCCCAGGGAGCCGGTCCTCCTCCAGCCATGCCCCCTCCCTGCCCCCTGACATCGCTCTGAGGGTCAGAATCCCCCAGCTGGATCCATTTCTCTGGTCATTTCTTAAACGCTATCTCCTTCAAGAGTGTTTTCTCATATTTCTAAAAATGAGAGAGAGAGAGAGAGAGAGAAACAGGCATCACTGATGAGAGAGAATCATTGGTCGGCTGCCTCCTGCTCGCCCCACATTGGGGATCAGCCCACAATCCGGGCTCATGCCCTGACCAGGAATGGAACCCTGACCTCCTGGTTCCTAGGTCAACGCCCAACCACTGAGCCACGCAGGCCGGGCCAAGAAGCGTTTTTTCATATTTTTAAAAATTATTTTAGAGAGGGAGAGAGAAAGAGAGAGAGATCAATGATGAGAGAGAATCATTGGTTGGCTGCCTCCTGCTCGCCCCACACTGGGGTGCCCTGACCAGGAATGGAACCCTGACCTCCTGGTTCCTAGGTCAACGCCCAACCACTGAGCCACGCAGGCCGGGCCAGGAAGTGTTTTCTGATTTCCCTTTCCATCCCGAAATTTTTATCTTTGATTCCTTCCACCACCACCGGCCCCTTTTAGCTTCTATCAAAACACAAAGCACCTGCCAGCATCCCATAAAGCTCTTTTAGACCCAGAATGCTAAATGGTCACCTGACTGGGGGCGCTTCATGAATGGAGAGGCATCATATTATTGGCATGTTTATCAATTATGGTCAATTTCATAAAAACTGGGCGGAGGGGGGCATCATTAAAATCGTCACTCTTCTATGCCGGGATGTCTTCCTCTTGAGTCTCATCCCGAAGAAGTGTATCTTTTTTGAGACTTAATCGTTTATTTATGGAAAATGGCTTCTGCGTATGAGTTGGAAAAGCACAGCCTCTGTAATACCCTCTTTTCACAATTTCTAGTGGTTTTATGGGGAAACAGAGAGCAGTGATGATGTGGAAGCTCTGACGGTCAAGAAATTCAGAGGGGACCTGGCCTACCGGCGGCAGGAGTATCAGGTAGGATTCATGTGTGTAAGGCTGCGCTCCTTTAAAGGGGCTCTTGTTCCTTAAATTAGGGCCGTGGTCGGCAAACTGCGGCTCTTTGGCCCCTTGAGTGTGGCTCTTCCACAAAATACCACAGCCTGGGCCAGTCTGTTTTAAAGAACTGGCATTAGAAGAAGTTTACATTTAAAAAATGTGGCTCTCGCCGAAACTGTTTGGCTCAGTGGTAGAGCGTCGGTCTGTAGACTGAAAGGTCCCAGGTTCGATTCCGGTCAAGGGCATGTACCTTGGTTGCGGGGACATCCCCAGTAGGGGGTGTGCAAGAGGCAGCTGATCGATGATTCTCTCTCATCGATGTTTCTAACTCTCTATCCCTTTCTCTTCCTCTCTGTAACAAATCAATAAAATATATATATTTTTAAAAAGATACTTAAAAAGAAAAAATTACGTATGTTACTCCCCCAATGACCTCTCCCACAACTTGCCACTTTCCACCCCAGGCCTTCAGCACCCTATTGTCTGTGTCCATGGTCTGTCCTTTTTTTTTTTTTCTTTTTCTTTTTTTAAATATGTTTTTATTGATTTCACATAGAAAAGGAGAGGGAGAGAGATAGAAACATCAATGATGAGAGAGAATCATTGATGGGCTGCCTCCTGCACACCCCCTACTGGGGATCAAGCCTGCAACTGGGCATGTGTCCTTGACCTGAACCGAACCCAAGACCCTTCAGTCCACAGGTGGATGCTCTGTCCACTGATCCAAACCGGCTAGGGCTGGTCTGTCCTTTTCTATGAGGTTCTATATAATTTGTTTTGTTTCTTGTAACTCCAGTATAGGAATCTTTTGGGGATCCTTGTAGTTCGGATTACCCAGGCTCTATCTCCTCGTTATGTGGGAGCCCCTATCACAGACACCTCTTAGTGCCCCAGAGGCAAAGCACCCCAAAGTGTGTACGAAAAGGGAGAAACTGACAGCTGGGTACCAGCTCTACATGTAGATCTCATTTCATCTTCATAGGAGTCCTGTTGTCATTTTGCCGATGAAAAGGTTATATAGCAAGTTAGTGGTAGAACCAACATTCAAACCCTGGTCTGTTTGGCTCCAGAATGTTCTTCCTGCTATATTACGATGTTTTCCATGGTAGTAGTGATTTTATTCTCCAGCCATTTATCTTCTGCCTTTGAGAAAAATACCTCTGACTGAAATCCTCAGGTCTTTCTTAGTTCATTGTTGGGGTCAGTTATGACATTACCTTCTGCCTAGAAAAAAAAAACAACTATCCCTATAACAGTCCTTTCTTCTGTGTTTTCTGCTTTTCTTTTCATCCCTCTCTTCATTTCCTCACCTGAACAAATAACGGCCAGAAAGCACTGCAGGAATATTCCAGCATCTCTGACAAGCTACCACCCACAAACGTTGCCATGAAGAGGGATGTCCAGGAAGGCCAGGCCCGGTGCCTCGCTCGCCTCGGAAGGCACGCGGAAGCGCTGGCCATTGCTGCGAACTTGGTGAGTGGTGGCATGGCTTCTTTCCGCTTGTTTTCCTGAGATGGTTGAATATTTTCTGAGACAAAACAAAACCAGCTTCTTGCTCACCGCAAGATCTGTGGGTTGGGAGGAGCAGAAGAAAATTGCCAATAATGTGAGAACTCTATGATGGTGAACATTCTGGAGCTCTGGACATAATCATTTTCTTGATTATGATAAAAATCCTTTATTGCCTGAAAATCTCATTTGCAAAGGTTTTACTCTTGTTGGGAGTAAATACTGATGGAAGGATTATCGGTAATCTGTTTCCTTCTTTAGGTTTTATTTTTTTAAATTTCTACAGTGAACATGTATTACTTTTGTAAAGGGGCGGAGTTTATCGAAAAAAATGACTAAAGATAATACTTCACCAAGCTTTAATAATCCCTTATTTTAGCTTTGAGCAGTGGCAATATCGTAGACAATGAGGTTTATCTGAGTCGTGATTATTGCTAATAGGGGGGGAAATCCTTTTTTCCTTAAATGGAATTTGCAGAATGTTTTTAAGGGATAAAGAAAAGCAACTCTTTGCAATTCTACATTCTGCTTGTTTTTGTTTTCAGGTTAAGGCATCTCTGGTTTACTTCTGGTTATTAGTGTAAATTTTATAGGGGTTTGATCTCAAGTAAACATCCTGGTTTATAGGCCAGTGTCCCTCCTCAAAGGGAACTAATGAGGCTTGTCGCTGATCTTGACCGCTGTGGACCTGGTCGACCAAGGTCAGCCTCGAGTGTGCATGCATCTGAGCTGTCCATGCATCTGAGCTGTCCATGCATCTGAGCTGTCCATGCATCTGAGCTGTCCATGCATCTGAGCTGTCCATGCATCTGAGCTGTCCCCTTTCCGGTTAACTGAAGGTTATCACTGAGCGGTTCATCGCATAGGATCTCGCCTCTTGCAGTGAGAGGAAACCTTGGGGTAATTGTCTTCAAAACATGGAAAACAGCTGCATTTTCTCCTTTCTTTTTCTCCCCTCTAGTGATTGTGGGTTAATGGGATGCATATTGTTGCAAGAACCTGTTTCTTAAACAATTTAAACATATAGTGGTGTGTGATATGTTCTCAACCGCCATGTCAATTCCACATGTGCCCAGGTCTGGGGTCAGTGCTGAGGAGACAGATAAGAAAGTCTCTCTCCTGCACATCCATTGCCCATCGGGGTCCAGAGGGAGAACCCTCGCCTGCTACCGCGTCAGCTCCTCTGTGACTTTATTCTTTTATTTTTTATTTTTTTTTAAATAAGTTTTTATTGTTCATATTATTACAAATGTTCCCCCCCCCCCCACCATTGCTCTCCTCCACCAGGTTCCCATCCCACCCTCTGCCCTTTCCCCACTCCCCATCGTCCTCATCCATAGGTGCACAGTTTATGTTCAGTCTCTTCCCACATCCCCCTCTCCCCTTTTCCCCAAGAATCGTCAGTTCACTCCCCTTCCATACCTCTGATTCTATTATATTCAACAGTTACTATTGTTCATCAGATTTTTTTTTAAATTTCCTTGGTTTTTAGATTCACTTGTTGATAGTTACATATTTGTTGTTCATAATTTTTATCTTTGTTTACTTTCTCTTCTGAAAGAACTCCCTTCAGCAACTCATATAAGTCTGGTTTGGTGTTGATGAACTCCTTTAGCTTTTTTTTATTAGTGAAGCTCTTTATCTGACCTTCAATTCTGAGTGATAGCTTTGCTGGATAGATTATCTTTGGCTGTAGGTTCTTACTATTCATCACCTTGAATATTTCTTGCCATTCCCGTCTGGCCTGCATGGTTTCTGTTGAGAAGTCAGCTGACAATCGTATAGGTGATCCTTTATAGGTAACTACCTTCTTTGCTCTTGCTTCTTTTAATATTCTCTCTTTGTCTTTTGCTCTTGGAATTTTAATTATGATTTGTCTTGGTGTGGTCCTCTTTGGATTCCTTTTGTTTGGAGTTCTGTGCGCTTCCTGGACTTGTAAGTCTAATTCTTTCCCCAGGTGGGGGAAGTTTTCTGTCACTATTTCTTTCAGTATGTTTTCGATATCTTGCTCTCTCTCATCTTCTGGGACCCCCATAATTCTGATGTTGGTTCGCTTGAAGTTGTCCCAGAGGTTTCTTACATTATCTTCAATTTTCTGGATTCTCTTGCCTTCTAGCTTCTGTGGAGGAGTGTCTTCTGGCTCTTTATGTTCCAAATCTTTGACTTGATTCTTGCGATCTTCCCTTCTGTTTTTAGGACTCTGTAAAATATTTTTTATTTCAGACAATGTATTCTTTATTTCTTGTTGTTCCCTTATCATTTCTTGTTGACTCCTTATTAATTCTAGTTGATTTCTTTTCATGTCCTCATAGGTCTTATCCATCTTTTCTAGGAAATTCTTGAAAAACCTTATAAGCGTAGATTTGAACTCTATATCCAGTAGCTTTTTGTCCTCCATTTCTTTCGTTTGTGATCTATTTGGTTTAGGCATTTTCGCAGGCAGCTTTCCTGATGGGGCGGGGTTTCAGGGTGGAGCCTACAGCTTTGGCTTCCGTCAGCCCCGCCCTATGCGACTCCTGAGACTCAGGGTCCTTCAGTGCTCGCTGCCGGCGCCTCTGAGAGAAAGGCGCACTCGATTTTCGCCTGCTGCCAAACAGTCAATGCTCTCCCCCAATGAGCCCGGTATTGGGGTTCAGTTCAGTTGGAAGTGGAGTTGGAGGTGGCGTTCAGAGCAGACTGGAACCCCTGTCTCCTTCCCGCCAGGCAATCCTGCGGCACAGCCGGCCGTCCCTTCTCTGCGTGCACTGGGCGCCACCGCCGGGACCTCCTTTCGAAGCTTCCCCGGGTTCCGCCTCGCAGCCCAGCTCCCTCTGGCTGAGCCTGAGTCCCCGGGGTCTGGCCTAGGCCTGGGGTTCAGAGCAGTCGAGGGCCCAGCACAGTCGGAGCTTTTATCTCCTTCCCGCCAGGGAACGCCCGCCAGGCACTCCGCTTCCCTCCTCTCTGGCTCCGTCCTCTCCGCACACCGCGTGTCTCTGTACCTTCGGCTTTTCCAGCTCCTCCGCACTTCCTTCTGGTTTTCTCCTTGCTTCTCGTTGTAGAATTTCCAGTCAGTCAACTTTCCTGTAGTTCTGGGTGATGTCCATTTTATATTTTAGTTGTATTTTATTGAAATTGTTGTGTGAGGCTGCAGCTAGGTATTCACCTGGGCGCAGCCATCTTGGAGGACCGATAGCTCATCTGTGACTTTATTCTTTACGCCCAGTGACTGCCTGGCTCTGCTGCTTCCTCGCTGGGTGAGGTCATGCAGCTTCTCTAACTCCTTTGCTGAGACTCATTGGCCTCATCTATAAAATGGGGCTGAAAACAGAATCTGTCCTAAGGGATTGTCATGAGGATTAAGTGAGTCGAGCACTTCAATGAGCTACGCCTGGCACATGACAAGCGCTCAGTGAATATTAGCTGGTCATCATCGCATCCCAGAGGAGGTGCAGTATTCCAGAACACTCGCACCCAGTCATCTACATGGAATTTAACATCCATAGAGTTACTTACTAGTGATGCTGTCAGACCCTCCCATCAGAATGGTAGTTTGTATGTAACAATCTCTGCCCCAACACCCACTTGCTTTCTCAGTATGAAGTGTTTTCACACAGTAAAGGCCCACAGGGTGGCTGTAGAGCAGTAGTGTGTGGTTCAGGTGTTCCAGTCACATACGGTCCTTACTGTACATGAAGGGCAGAGGAGGTATGACTCAGTGGTTACTAAGCGTCTGCTGTGTCTGAAGCGCTGTGCTCTGTGCTCGGGCTCAGCCTTGAACGGAAACCCTCTAGGACGTCCTGGACTTTCGGGAAGACAATACCCAACAAGAGTAGCAGTAACACCAGGCAGGTTCTGTTGCTTGGCAGACAGGTCGGCGGCGTGGGCTCTCTTTCCGTCTTTCCACTCAGCACGGCTTCCGCTCCCTGGGGCGCCGGGACTTGGGCAGCAGCTGGGTAGTTCCACTCAGTGCCGTTTTCTGCAGCCGCTCCATTTGCATACTAGACAGCCAGGCTTTCCTGTGACTTAAAACCAACCGAAAGGCCATTTAGTCTGCTGTCTGCTCTCCAGACTTGAACTTAGAAAAGAAGGTTTGTTTTCTGTAACCCACGGGGCTTTTGCCATATGGCAAGTTAGGCAAGAGGCGGTGGCTCTGCTAAGGAGACCGCAAAGGACTTTCTGATCAGAAGGAAACCAAGAAACTCCCGGAGCCAATAACACTGGCCTTGGTCAGAGCAGGGCAGGCATTTAGACTCACTCACGATGCAGCATGAGCTTCCGGCTGTCCTGCTGAGATCTAAGCCAAGAACATTGGACAGAGTTCATTCGAATCCCCAAGGAAATGACCATTTGGGTTTTCAGAAAGCCTGCAATCTTACTAGTAAAATGGAACCGTTAGCCTAGGCCCATGATCGGCGAACTGGGGCTCGTGAGCCTCATGCGGCTCTTTGGCCCCTTGAGTGTGGCTCTTCCACAAAGTACCACAGCCTGGGTGAGTCTCTTTTGAAGAAGTGGCATTAGAAGAAGTTTAAGTTTAAAAAATTTGGCTCTCAAAAGAAATTTCAATCGTTGTACCGTTGATATTTGGCTCTGTTGACTAATGAGTTTGCCGACCACTGGCCTAGGCCCTAGGGTATCAAAAAGTTGGCTTGGGTCTCTTAGCTGTGTGGCTGAAGGCAATAAAGATTATAATAGCCCTGCCGAAACCGGTTTGCCTTAGTGGATAGAGCATCTGTCTGCGGACTGAAAGGTCCCAGGTTTGTTTCAGGTCAAGGGCATGTACCTTGGTTGTAGACACATCCCCAGTAGGGGGTGTGCAGGAGGCAGCTGATTGATGTTTCTTCCTCATCAATGTTTCTAACTCTATCCCTCTCCCTTCCTCTCTGTAAAAAATCAATAAAATATATATAAAAAAAGATTATAATAAACTTGAAGATAAACTGGCATTGATGTCTTTGGTGTGAACTTTGTGTTATTGTTATGACATTAGGATCTTGGGAGCGATCGGTGCTTGCTTTACTGGGCAGCATATATAATATTTCTCTAGGGTTAGGGTTTCAAACAGATCTATTGAAAGGTAGTTCGTTCCCTCTCCGTGTGTAGCTGCTGAAAAATACTTCTGGATTATAACATGCATCCTGGGTGGTTAGGAATCTCCATTTTTGCTTAGAAAACGGCCTACAGTGTGATGTTTGTGACCTTTCTTTTCTCCTTAGGAAACGAAAGCGACGAACACAGACCATTTAACCGCCGTGCTCTGCCTCCAGCTCGCCATTTGCTCCAGCTTGCAGGACGCGCAGCGCACCGCCTTCTGCCTTCAGAGGCTGGTCTCTCTGCACCCCTTCAGCCCGGGGAGCTGGGGCCGCCTGGCGGAGGCCTACCTGGCCGCGCCGTCCGCGTCCTCTCACGGACAGAGCCGGCCCGCCCCCGGCGACAGAGCTGTCGCCCGCGCCTGTCTGCACGCAGGAGAAGACTGTCGCCTGTGCTTCCCCGAGGCGCTGCCTGAGAGCCCCGCGGTTCCTGGGGCGACGAGCCGCGGGAGCGGCCGGAAGGAGGAGGAAGCGCTGGAGAACCGTCTGGACTCTCTGTCGCTGGAGGCTCGGGTGAAAGCGTGTGCCTCCTTTGTACGGACCAGGTAAGGACAGCGCAGTAAGCGATGTGCGGGGTGCTCAGCTCAGAGGAAAGATGTCCTTTTCTAATATTAAGTTTCACAAAGTTCCAGGCTAGACTTGATGGATGTTTTTGAGATATTTCCTGTGGTCTGGATGCAATGCTCCCAGAGGCTGGGAGAGGCTGCAGACAGGCCAGATGAAGACAGGGGGGTGTGCCCTGGGCCAGGTTCTGTCAGGAGCTCCCCAGGAACTTCCTCTCGTGCTTCCTCAAGCTCCACGTCTCTCCACCCCTGCGAGGGCTGGTGTGAGCTGCCCTCCCTCTCCTGTTCTCCTGTTTACTGCAGTCCCTCTTCCTGGCTGTGTTCTGCCCACAGGGATCTTCTCGATTTGCACACACAAATTCTTGAGTCAGAGCCCCCCTCGGCAGCCCTCTTTCCCCAGATGGTCGTGTGGCCGGCTCCTCGTCCTGCAAGTCTTGGCTTGGGGTGTCTCGGAGGAGCCTCCTCTGTCCCATCAAAGTAGACACTGCCTCCACCCTCTTGGATTCCTTCCCATAGCGCTCATCGCCACCTGAGATTGTCTTGTTGTTTGTGATCTCTTCTTCCACACCAGGGAGCAGAGCCTGTCTCCCGGGACCTACATAGTGTGTGGTGTCTGCACAGTCAGGATTTCCTACACAACGGAGGGGCCACCTGAGGGGGCAGGAGGGAGGGGAGCCAGGAGACCAGGCTTTGATCATGAGGCGGCAGTTCGTGGGGAGGCGGTTGCAAAGTGGGCATCAGAGTCCTCAACGCTGTGGGCCTGCTTCGGGAAAGGGAAGTGAGCTGGAGAGTCTCATTCGTCCTTGAGGTTGGGCTGCTGTGGGCTCAGGCCCTGGAGGGTCACAGAGCACTGACGGCAGAGGAACACACTCCATGGCATGTGTGCTTTGATCACGTGACTTCTGCAGGCCGCCCTCTGAGAGCTTGCTGTCTAAGAGTTTCTTTGAGAAGCTTGGCCAGTGCCTTTTCCAGAAGACCGCTCTCCAGTAGAGCGGGCCCTTTGCTCAGGATAAGAAGCGTTAGGATGCGAGGAGGTGAGCGCCTGCGGGGAGCCCAGTGGACTCTCATCCAGCGAACCCTGTGCTGCATTGGCCACCGCATTGCCCTCTTCCCGCAGCCTGCATGGCCAATTTGTGTTTTTCAGGCTTTTGCTTCAGCTCACCCAGTCCCAGCAGACATCGTTTGCTCTGGAGAGGAACCTCAGGACCCAGCAGGAAGTTGAAGATAAAGTGAAAGGCTTTGGCTTCAGAGAAGACACTCTGCAGCTGATCACTGAGGTGAGTGACGCCCTGGGATTTGTGTGAAGCGGGGCACCAGGGATATTTTCCTGGTGCCCACGCCCTTTTTTCAAAAAAACGAGGTCAGAGCTCATCCTCCGAAGGACTTCCGTGTCCTGCCTTTAGGTGCCTCGGTCAGTTCATCCCGAAAGCGCCTCTTCCTGGTCCTCCTGCCGCAGGCGGAGGGGCCCGTTCATTCCAGGTTGCTGCCTGGGCACCGGCATGCCCAGCCGCTGCTGAGTGCTGAGGGGGAGGAATGATGCTGACATCTGTGCAGGACTCTGTTTGCTCCTTCATTCATCCTCACAACAGCCTGCGGGCGGGTGGGGCTGAGGGAGGCGCAGAGACGCTGTGTCTTGCCAAGGTCAGGATTTCAGGGGCAGAGCCGCGCTGGAACCCGTCCAGTTGCAGGTCCATTGTCTGCCCCGCCCGTTACTGCTTTGATGTTATGGAGACGTTCAGGTAACAATCTTTTTAAACCTTTACTAGCTTTTAAAACAAATGCTGGCTCTAGACGGTTTGGCTCAGTGTTGGAGTGTTGGCCCGTGGACTGAAGGGTCCCGAGTTCAGTTCCGGTCAAGGGCACTTACTTTGGTTGCAGGCTCACAATCAATCGATGTTTCTCTCTGCCTCTCCCCCTCCCTTCTATTCTCTCTAAAAATCAATGGAGAAATATCCTCGGGTGAGGATTAACAAATAAACCAAATTATATGCTGTTGAAATGTCTTCAGATGACATTTGGAGATTATCCAGTAACTTACGTGACTCCTCTTTGTATATCATTGAAACGTGACAGCCCAGGGACTTTTCCCATGAGAATAACCCATTAGCATGTATACATCCTAATGTCATGCTTTCAACAAATGTTTACTGCATGCCCTGGCTGGTTTTTCTCAGTGGGTAGAGCATCAGCCGGTGGACTGAAAGGTCCTGGGTTTGATTCCTGTCAAGGACACGTGCCTGGGTTGTGGGTTTGATCCTCAATAGGGGCATGCGGGAAGCAGCCAATCAATGATTCTCATCCTTGATGTTTGTCTTTCTCCCTCTCCCTTCTTCTCTGAAATCAATAAGAATATATTTTTAAAAATGCTTCCTGCAAACTATGATTGCCTGGTTCCTTCCTCCCTTCCCCAAACTAAGCTCTCCCTTGACTCCTTTCCCTGTTCTGGGATCACGCCTCCTGTCTTGTCTCTGAGCCTGTTTCACCCTCCCCCTGAGCCCACAGACATGCCCGACACTGTCTCTCTGAGCCAGCGGGGCCCTTCCTTTGTCTGATTCCCACAGATATGTACGGAGCAGTGGGCACTTTCTGATTCTGCTTCCCTTTGCTCTGAGAGGCGGCACTCGGCTTTTCTCCGGTATTTCTTACTGCCCCTCTGCCTCTTGAGGCACCACTGGCTTTCTCTGAGGTCCTCCGCTCCCTCTGCCTTCCTCCCCAGCAGTGATACCTCATACCCACCACAGCTCAGTGGTCGCCTCTGGGCGGCTGACCCTCTAGTCTGGGTCTCTGCTCCCTGCTCTGGAACAGAGTGATTACCTGCTGAGCGGTTAATCAGAGATGATTATTGATTATTCTGCTGTCACTTCAGCTACAGAATGTCTAAAATGGAACTGCTCACCAAAACACTTCCCACCTTTTTTTTTTTTTTTAAAGACAACCCAATTTTTAAAAAAAATATATTTTATTGATTTTGTACAGAGAAGAAGGGAGAGAGATAGAGAGTTAGAAACATCGATGAGAGAGAGTCATCGATCAGTTGCCTCTTGCACACCCCCTACTGGGGATATGCCCGCAACCAAGGTACATGCCCTTGACCGGAATTGAACCCGGGACCTTTCAGTCTCCAAGCCGATGCTCTATCCATTGAGCCAAACCGGTCTTGGCAACACTTCCCACCTTTTATCGGTGCCCGGCATGCGGAGTGCCGGTGCCCGGCATGCGGAGAGGAAGCACAGGGGAGTTGGGGAGAACCATCTCTTCCTTAGACTTAAGTTTTTTGTCGACCCTGTCTGTCATTCTTGGTTTATCCAGACCTGGAACCTCACAGCCTCCTCCTCTGTTCTCACTATAGCCGGCACCACGTCCACCTTTCTTCAGGGCCCCTTCATTTCCCCTCACCACCAGCCACAGTCCTTGCCACTCCCCGTGGACTCACGGCGGCCTCCGGCTCATCTCCCGCTTCCTTCCCCTCAGATCCGTCTTAAATGTCGCTGCTGAGTTCATCTTCAATAATGCTTGGAGGACTGGGTGAAGAGGGGAGGGATTGAGGATACAGAATGGTGGGGTCACTGGTCTGTGAAGTACAGCACAGGAAATACAGTCAATAATATTGCAAGAACTACATATGATGCCAGGTCGGCACTACTTACTGGGGGATCACTTCATAAATTATGTAATTGTCTAACCACTGTGCTGTACACCCAAAATGGGTATAAAATAGTATTGACTTTCAAGTATAATTGAAAAATAAAATTGAAAAAAACAAATATTGCTTTGACCATATTACCTGCTTGCTTAAAATGAAAATGTATCAGGTTAGTTTACAGCCTTGATAATGGTGTCCAAGGCCTTCCAGAGAGTAACCCCAACTTCTGACCTAGTCATTCCTCACACAAGTCTTTGCCTCTGCTAGACTATCTGCCTGTATCTAATAAACCTGCCCTGGGGTTCCCATCTCCACCTCCTGTTCCTGTCCCCAAAGGCCCGGCCGAAATCCACATCCGCTAGGCACCTCTCGCAGCGTGTCCTGTCCGTGGCAGCTCCTCCCCCATCTGAGCTCAGATGGAATGATGGCTTGAATAGATAGCTCTTTATTCCCCCTCAACCCGTCCTGTCTTCCACCTCCTCGCGTGACCGTTCCCCCAAACCCCCTCCAAGCAAGAGCATGTCATAATCTTCCTGGTGTTTTATCAAAGAGAACCTAATGCAGACTCCGAACCTGATTCTGACCAGTAGGGGGCAGTATTGTGCCTTCAGAGGGTCGGCCTGCTTCTTCAGTCTCGGAGATTGTGTGTTCCATTTCTGGGAGGATGGAGTTATGTCCTGCCCAAGCCCCGCTCTTGTCATTCTACCAGGAGGGTGGGTCCCTCCAGCTGCATTCGTGCGGAGAGAAGATGCTCTCAGCTACGAGGAGGCGGCTCGGCTTCCTGTGTCTTGACCCGCTCCGCTGCCAATGAGCACTTCTGCGACTGTTCGCTCGCGAAGGACAGGCCCGGAAACGGGGTGGTATTTACCCCGGGTCCTCAGATCGCTGCTCTGACCAGACATCTTTTCCTTTTTTTTTTTTTTTTTAATATATTTTATTGATTTTTTTTTTTTTTTAACAGAGAGAAAGGGAGAGAGACAGAGAGCTAGAAACGTCGATGAGAGAGAAACATCGACCAGCTGCCTCTTGCACACCCCCCACTGGGGATGTGCCCGCAACTAAGGTACAGGCCCTTGACGGGAATCAAACCCGGGACCTTTCAGTCCGCAGACCGACGCTCTACCACTGAGCCAAACCGGATTCAGCCAGACATCTTTTCGATGTGCTGGAACGGTTGGAATCGCCCCCGCGCTGCTGAAGGAGGCCTGCTTGTATGAAATCCTTTACGCCACAGACATGTGGTCCTGCACGCCACGGCGAGTGCCCCTTTTGTTGTTCTTTTCCCTCCTGCAGGTTATGGGAAAAGACATCGTTCCAGAAAAAATAAAAGACGAGGCTCACAGCGAGGTGAAGTGTGTGGGCCCCGCAGCCCTGGCCGCCTTGGTGGTTGCATCTTCGGAGGAATTTGAAGACAAGTGGTTCCGAAAGATCAAAGACCACTTCTGCTCCTTTGAAAGCCAGTTCCATACACAGATGCAAATCTCTGCTTAACAACAAAACATCCGGCCCTGGCTGGTTTGGCTCAGTGGGTGGAGCGGCAGCCTGCAGACTGAGGCTCTTGGGTTTGACTCCAGTCAGGGGCACGTGCCTGGGCTGCAGGCTTGATCCCCAGTGTGGCTTGTGCAGGAGGCAGCTGATCAGCGATTCTCTTTCATCGTTGATGTTTCTATCTCTCCATCTCTGAAATCAATAAAAATATTTTTTAAAAAGACATCTGGCCCCATGTTAACTGTCCTTTACTTCACAGAGAATCCACTGCTAACCATGAAACAGAGTGAGTGAATCAAACATGACGCTTTGTTTTATAAAAATGTTTTATAAAAAGAACCTTATCTCCCAGGTTCTTTCCATTGTGTTCCGTTTCTTAGATTGTTGCCATTCACCTCTCTTAGCCTCCCACCCCTTTATAAGTCATCTGTTGGGAGAGTGTGTAAAAGAGGCTTTTAGGTTTTTTCGGCTTTTAATTTTTTAAAATAGATTTTTATTGATTTAGGTGATCAGATTTCCCCCCTCATGTTGCATGGTGCTGGTTCACTGGGTGTCGCCTGCAGCTGACTGGAATTCTCCAGGACATGTGTGGGTCTGGGTATCCGCCTGTTGCTGTGCCCAGAACACGGGGGGCAGCCGTTGCTGCTGTTCAATCCCTCGCAGTGGAGACGGCGGGCGTCTCACGATGGGCCCGGCAAGCAGGCCGCCAGGGCAGGTGCGGCTGTGACTCTGGCCCAAGCGGAACTGCTTGGAGGGCTGGAACCTGGCATTCAGCCACCTCCTCGCCCAGGGAGTAAACCCCCCTGGTCTCCTGGTGGACATGCTGGCGGGATGAGGGCCCAAGCGGGGGGCTCTGGGAATCCGGGCCCACCGGGGAACGCCCAGCCTCGGCGCCCGGGACCGTGTCTGTCGTGAAGCTGGGTCGTGGTGCAGTGACAGACAGCCGCGGTCTCAGAGCTTGGACCACAAAGGTTTATTTCCTGCTCACATTGCTTATCCACTGCGAATGGGCGGGGAGTGGGGCTGCTCACCACACTCTCCTAGGGGCCCGGCCGGCGAGGGGCCTCCACCTGAGGCTCCGGCGTCCGGGAGCCTCGGCCTGGCAGCGACTCGGCACGAACTGCCCTGCCGCCTCCGTCCCCGGACACCTGGTCTGTCCGTCCGCCGGCGGCAGTCTCCACGGCCACGGCTCCCAGCAGCCGGGCCTCATCTCTACGCCCTCGGGCCAATGGGCACCAGTCCGCCCTCCGGTCCGCACAGAACGTCCCGGCCTTCTCCTGGGTCTCCCGCGAGTCTCTGGGGAGAGGGCTGTTCCGTGAGCTGGGAACGGGCCCTCGGTCACACCCACCCTCTGCTGCCCGGCGCCTGCGCTTACCCACGTGTGAAACGTGGCTGAGTCTGCCCGGCTCACACCCCAGCGGGTCCGAGCGGCCGTGTGGCAGCTCGGGCCTCTTTGGAAGAACGGGCCCTGCTTTCACCATTTTGTCCTCTAGTTCCCCACCCCCGTCGTCACCCTGGAACCTTCTGGAATGTGCTGCGTAGCCCAAACCGGAGAGGGGAACCCAGGGACCAGTGTGATCAGCAAGTGAACACTCTCAGGCCCGGGAACATTCCAACAGGCAGCAGTGTTGTCCGGGGAAGCAAAGCTGCCGTCCGTCCGTCCGTCCGTCCGTCCCCAGGGGTCCTGGGAGGGCAGCCGGGGAGGGCAGCCGGGGAGGGCAGCCGGGGAGGGCAGCCGGGGAGGGCCTTCAGAAGCGAGGGGCGGCCTGCAGGAACGGCCTCCAGGCGTGGGCCCGGGCAGCAGGCCCAGCCGCTCCGGCTGCAGCCTGGGGGGCCGGCAGGCGCCGAGCTGCGGCAGAGAGCCAGCAGGCCGTCCGGGGCCTCGGGGAGAAGTGGGCCTGCGGGGCCGGGGCCCCCCAGAGGCCGTGGTAGGGCTGGAACCTGGGGGGCGGAGGCGGGTTCGGGGCCGGCGGGGTGCTGGGCCCCGAGGACGCGGACAGGCTTGGGCTGGAGGACAGGCGGCCGCTGGCGGAGCCGCTGCTGCCGCTGAGGCTGAGGCAGCCGGGCGGGGGGGGGGGGGGGGGGGGGCTGCGCCTCGCTCCGGGCGGGAGGGGGGCGGCCAGCCTGGGGCACTTCAGGCCCATCACGGGCTGGGAGGCGTGTAGAGGCGGCGGGACTCCTGGTCGGACAGCGCCACGGCCGGGCCGTGAACTTGGTGAGGATGTTTCGGTGCATGTGTCTGCTGAGCCAGGTGAAGCTGTGGGAGGAGAGGGGGAGGTGGGAATGGGCCACAGCGGGGGGCCCCCAGGACCTGCCTCAGGGGTCAGGGGTCCACAGCAGGACTGGAAGGAGGGGACTCCGCCCTCTGCCCCCCTCTCCCCCCTCCTGTCATCCTGCAGAAGCTCTGGCGGGACAAGGTCCCCTTTCACAAAAGGCCAAACTGGAGCTCCCATCCAGCCAACGTCGCTGGCTGGCTGGTGAGGACGTTGCCAGATGACTTCCTGGCCTCGGGTCAGAGCTCCTCCTGTCCCTTAGCCGGTCCCCGCGGAGGGGGTGTGGGCTGAGGGGCAGCTCCTTGGAAGGCAGGGGCTACATGATCATGACCATCCAGCGGGTGTGGGGCCGTTTTCAGGCGGGTGGACCCAGAGGGGAGGGAGGGAGGGGAGAATCCTGGCCCCTCGGCAGATGGGAAGGAAGGGGACACAGGGTGAGCCCGCAGGAACGGGGCGTCCGGGGTTTGCTGGGACACCCAGGTCAGCACACCCTCAGGCAGAGGCCTTGGGCCTCCGTCCATCACAGGTTTGAGGAGAAAACAAAACGCTCAAGGCGTTTAGGTGTGACTTTCTGTGATTCCCTGATTTAACCAAATTCCTTTCTATTTTTTAAAAATACCTTTTTTATTGATTTCAGAGAGGAAGGAAGAGGGGGAGAGAAACATCATTGATGAGAGTGAATCGTTGACTGGCTGCCTCTTGCACGCCCCACACTGGGGGTTGAGACCACAACCTGGGCATGTGCCCTGACTGGGAATCGAACTGTGACCTCCTGGCTCATAGGTCAATGCTCAACCGCTGAGCCATGTAGGCCAGGCGAAATTTCTTTCTATTTTTGATGAAAACTCCCCTCCTCATGTCCTTCCCTCTTCTCTCCCCCTTCCCCCCCCAAAAAAAAAAAAAAAAACACCCTTGAAAATGTCTTGTGACAGCACAGAAGACCCACCACGAGCATCAGCTCAGAGATCCCTGTTTCTAATCATGTGGACGCGATGGGGCTCGGCGGTCAGAGGTCAGGGCATCCTGAGAGGCGGGCCCACCAAGGGCCTCAGCCTCCAGCACCAGCCGTCAGGCTGCTGGCCTTGCCAATAGGAGGCAGGGCGGGCCCGCAGAGGCTGGGCCATCCTGGGAGGAACAGGAGGCTTTGTTCCAGCCTCATCTCCCGCCCAGGAGCCATCCACTCGGCCCCAGATCGACAAGCGGCTGAGGCTGAGCCTGGGCCAGCCAGGTGACAGGTGACAGGGGAGGTGCAGAGACGGGCACAGGGGGCTCCTGGCTGCACTAAGAACCTAACGCCCAAATCTGTCTTTGGGAATTGGGCTGGACGAGGTCAACAACTACGTGCTTTGCTCAGTAAAACTGGTCCAAAGGTACCCTGGCAACTGGTGAGGTCCCCATGCACCCAGAGGCCATGCACACAGGCTGCCACCTGAGCTCCCCCTCCGCCCCACTCCCTCCCTCTCCCCCCCCCTCCCAGGCCAAAGAGGCATCAGCTCCTCAGTTTGGTAGAACAGAGACAACCAGAGAGAAGGGCCAGGCCACTGGAAGCCCAGGGAGAGCCAGGCTGAGGGCGGTCCTGTTTGTGGCTTTGTTTTCATTGGCTGCAGCTCTGAGGGTCCCAGGGGAACAGATCCTGATAGGCTCACAGACGACCCTGAATGCCGAGGTGACCCGCCCTCTCTCCAGGAGCTGGACCTTCCGGTTCTCACGAATGGCCCTGTGTCTTAAAGCCCGCTGCCCCCTCCTGGGTCAGGATGGCTCGCCCCACTGGGCCTCGGTGGGCACAGGGAGCTGGGGACTGTGGGCTGATCACCTGCCCCTCTGCTCCTTAGGGCCCATCTGCCATGAGAAGAGGGGTGTGAGGAAGATTGATCCTTACAGGTCTGACCGCTCCTGGCCCTGGCCTGGCACAGAGCTCACCGGGGTTAACCGCTTCCTGCCGGCCCCACGGGCAGGGGCCACCCGGCAATGAGCTCTGTAAGGACAAGGAAATGAGAACCAAGGGGGAATTCTCCCTGCTGAGAGCAAGGTTCCCTCTTCGTTTTCTCTCCCAGAATTCCTTGCTCTGCCCTTTGTGATTGTCTGGAAATCTTTTCAGTGGCTCCACAAGCCTCCGGCCAGTCCCAGAGCTGGTTGCTAGGGGCTGAGAAGGAGGCATGGGAGCGACTCCCTAATGGTGAAGGGGTGTGGACACGCCACCTCAAAATATACGTTGCTCTGACATAAGGAACAGCTTATGCTGAGGAGCCTAAGAAACAGAGCTGGGACCGAACTTAAACTGTCTGACTCCCTGCTGGGCTGCTGCCACTTCTTTTTTTTTTTTTTTTTTTAATATATTTTATTGATTTTGTACAGAGAGGAAGTGAGAGAGATAGTTAGAAACATCGATGAGAGAGAGTCATCAATCAGCTGCCTCTTGCACACCCCCTACTGGGGATATGCCCGCAACTAAGGTACATGCCCTTGACCGGAATCGAACCCGGGTCCCTTCAGTCCCCAAGCTGACGCTCTTTCCATTGAGCCAAACCGGTCTCGGCGGGCCGCTGCCACTTCTAGTCCCTGGAGCCAGCCCTGGTCCCGGGGGTTTGGAGATGCTCTCGCACAGAGGGGAGAAGGGGCGGGAAGCTGGTTGGGGGCCACACAGGGTAGCGCTTGTCGTCTATCAAGGACACTGTGGCTGGGACTGGTTTGGCTCAATGGATAGAGCGTCGGCCTGCGGACTGAAAGGTCCTGGGTTCGATTCCGGTCAAGGGCATGTACCTTGGTTGCGGGCACATCCCCAGTGGGGGGTGTGCAGGATGCAGCTGGTAGATGTTTCTCTCTCATTGACGTTTCTAGCTCTCTATCCCTCTTCCTTCCTCTCTGTGGAAAATCAATAAAATATATTTTTAAAAAACCCAAAAAACTGAAGTGTCCTACTCCTTGGAACTTTATTTAAAAAAAAAAAAAAAAAGGGAAGGACCTTACAGACCCGCTGGAGAGGGCCCTTGCTAAGGTGACGGACCAGACGTTCCGCTTTTGGCGGGACAGTCCCAATTGTTAACAATTTTTCCCACGTCCCTCGACGTTTTTAAAAAGTCCCGATTTTTAACATTTTGTTTAAAACGCTGCAGGACGCGGGGCAAAGTGTTAAAAATCGGGACTGTCTTGCCAAAAGCAGGACGTCTGGCCCCTCTGGAGGACGCATGGATGACGGCCCGTGGTTTTGTAGGTGATGATGTTTGACCTCCCGGAGCTGCTGACTCCTGGCGATTGCAAACACGGGCCTGTGTGTGTGTCTCTGGTGTGCAAACACCGCAACCCAGAGCTGACCCCAGCCACCCTCTTCTTCAACTCACACACAGCAGCCCCACACAGCCCCTGCCCTCACCACCCAGGGCACGGCCGGGGCCACGGGGACCCTCTGGAGCCCAGAGCCGGCCAACCTGACCCGCCAGGCCACCTCAGACTGCTGCCTGCGCCTCCTGTCCCTCCCGCAGCCACGGATAGGCTCCTGTCCCTGCGTCCCCTCGCCGCCCACCTCCTGCCCGCCCGGTGCTCCGGCTGGCCCTGAGAGCTGTGCCAGCTTCCCTCTCCAGGTTTGCGTGGCCGCCTGCACCTGATCCGAGCAAACCCCACGTGGGAACCCTAATTAGATGCGCCCGATGGTCAAGGCCAGTTTGCCACACGCTTGCTCCAGGCAAGGATGTAACTGTTTGTGTTAGCGTAGCACGAGCATGTGTCCCCCATGGGCACGAGGCCTCTGTCTGAGCGTGTGTGTGAGATGCCGCTGGCCGGCCCGGGGCGCAAGGCCACCGTGTGGGGCCGCCCTGTGGGCCGCCTGGAAGAACTGTGTGCCTGACGGCTCCTGTGCAGCCATGGCTACTTGGTCCACAATGAACTCTCTCCTGCGTGTGCTAGGACTCCCCATGTCTTCTCCATCTCATACCTGATCCTACAAAGGACTGCGGCTCCCTCTTTGGCACAAAGAGTAAGGCAGAGCTGCTGTGGCCTCTGATCCCTGTTCCCACCCTCGTCACTCCCCGAGGGCCCTGCCGACCCGCTGTCCCCCCAGAGGGAGGGCGTGTCTCCCCACCTCCCGGACCTCGGCTCTCTCAGAGCGGACCTTGGTGCCCACACCCCCTGGGCCTGGCCTTGGTGCCCACACCCCCTGGGCCTGACCTTGGTGCCCACACCCCCTCGGCCTGGAATGCCTTTCCCTCCCTCTCTGCCTGGCAAACTCTTACTCAGCCTTTGAGACTCAGCTCAGAGGCCACCTCCTCATGAAGCCTGCCTTAGTCACCTTCCTGTCTGCTTCCAGCACACAGGTTGCTCAAGCTCAGGCTGCCACCCACCCCTCACCCCCCACCCTCACCCCGTTCTCTCCTCTCCCCTCCCCTCCCTTCCTCTCTCTGAAATCAATTATATATATATATATATATATATATATATACACAATTATATATATATACAATTATATATATATACAATTATATATATATACAATTATATATATACAATTATATATATATATACAATTATATACATATATACAATTATATATATATATATATATATATATATATATATATATATATATACACACACACACACACACAATTATGAGCAGTTGACTGAACAACCAGTCAACTATTTACCTGATGTGCATTGACCACCAGGGGGCAGATGTGCATTGACCACCAGGGGGCAGATGCTCAATGCAGGACCTGCCCCCTCATGGTCAGTGCGCGTTCCCGCAGCCAACCTCCGATGGCCGGCCAACCTCCCATGGCTCCTCCCCTTGGCTGGCCCCAATAAGCCCCGATTGCTGGCCAGGCCGAGGGACCCCACCTGTGCATGAATTTGTGCACCGGGCCCCTACAGTATGTATA